ACGATGATGATGATAACAAATTTAGGTTTTTCATATCGACGAAAAGGTTATTGAAATTTTCTGCCACTTCAACACGGCTACATGCTGACGCTACTTATAAACTGAGCTGGCAGGGATTTCCTGTAGTAACATGTGATGTAAAAGTCTTTGCACAAATGTCCGGTTGTCTTTTGGGCGGATAAATACGTGTTGGACTGAACATTTTGTGATTAACTGATAGCTCATTCTTTCCTCTTTCTAACAATATATAACTCATTCTTACTAGATGCTCGTAACAAAAATGACACGTGACGAAAGAGAAGCACTATCACAATGTAATTATTTGCAACTTCTATTGTAATTCTTCTAATAAATCTATAAAAACTACAGTACATTATTTTGTAAAACAAAATATTCCACGAAGAACCATTTATTACATATTGAACAAGTATTTACGATATGGAATTGCAAGAGATCAACCGCGAAGTGGTCGTCCGCTGAAGTTATCCAACAAAAAGCTGAATGATATCGTCAAATCTGTGAACAATCGATCTGGTATCAGTCAACGTAAAATAGGACGACGCTTTCATGTACATCATTCAACTATTTCACGTAATCTTCGAAGAAGAACATCGATTCGTATCAGAAAACGTCAAACGGCTCCGAAAATGGACAGTGAAGACCAAGAAAAACGAGCAAAAACAAATTGTGGAAAACTGTATCGTAAATTGTTGTCTGGTTGTGATCTGATCTTAGATGATGAAAAATTTTTCCGTTGACTGGAGATAATGTGATTGGCAATCGATTCTTTTATTCTACTGATCTAACTATGGCACCTGTAGATATAAAATTCCGAAAGAAAAAGAAATTCGAATCCAAGGTAATGGTATGGATGGTCATCTCATCCAAGGGTGTATCTGATGTGTATGTTCACAAAAGCAAACAAGCTATTCGTCAAGATACATATCTGAATCAATTTATCAACAAAAGACTCCTTCCTTTCATCGAAAAGTATCATCAGGATGGCAATTATCTCTTTTGGCCTGACTTGGCGAGTGCTCATTATTCCAAATCTGTACAAGAACGTTTGAATGAGAAAAATGTACCATTTGTTATTCGTGAAGATAATCCTTCAAACGTACCACAAGCTCGTCCAATTGAAACAGTTTGGACTCTACTTGAACGAAAAGTGTATGAGAACAATTGGGAAGCAAAAGACTTGGACGTGTTAGCTCAAATAATCAAAAAGAAATCAAAAGAGCTTGATCAAAAAATGTTGCAAGATATGATTGATGGGGTTAGAAGAAAGCTTCGCGCTATGTGGCGAGAAGGACTGTATTCAGTTTTATGAACAAAGTTTTTTGTAGTAGTTTTCATGCTCTTTCTAATGAAAAAAACTAGGTCTTTAGCTACTGAAACGATTGAAGTCTAAAGCTTGACATTTGTGGAAAGACTTTTGCACCGCATGTTAATAGTAGGAACAACTGATTATGATAGGAAGTTCTATCCATTTGGGTTAGGGGTGTGTAGCGACAAAAAGTAACAAAAGCTCTCTTAGTACAATAACTGTACAATTAATTTTTTTACTTAGTTATTTATGTCACTTTACTTAACAAAAACTGTATATTTACTTGAATATTTACAATATTTGCCTAGAGAATTGACCGTGTCTACTTAGAATTAAAATAAATAACTTAGCAAAAATTCATTTTTTTACTTAGCATTTAATTGATTTTACTTAGCATTAAAATAGCAGCCTTTTTCGATTTCCTTGGTC